CCCCAGATCCTCCTCCTTCCCTTTTTTAAAAGATGGGCACTACATTAGCCTTTTTCCAGTCATCCGGGACCTCCCCCGATCACCATGAGTTTTCAAAGATAATGGCCAATGGCTCTGCAATCACATTCGCCAAGTCCTTTAGCACCCTCGGATGCAGTTCATCCGGCCACATGGACTTGTGCTCGTCCAGCTTTTCTAAATAGTCCTGAACCACTTCTTTCTCTCCAAAGGGCTGGTCACCTCCTCCCCATACTGTGCTGTCGAATGCAGTAGTCTGGGAGCTGACCTTGTTCGTGAAGACAGAGGCCAAAAAAAGCATTGAGTACATTACCTTTTTCCACATCCTCTGTCATTAGGTTGCCTCCCCCATTTAGTAAGGGGCCCACACTTTTCCTGACCACCTTCTTGTTGCTAACATACCTTCATCCTGCCTCAGTGCAGGGGGATGGACTAGTTGACCTCTTGAGGTCCCTTCCAGCCCCACATTTCTGCAATTCAAATAAAAAACACTTTATAAAATAATAATAATAATAAAAAATACAAATTACAACAGCTGGAAATTTCCTTTAGGTTAATTTTAAACCTAATTTACAAACTGTGCACCCTCTTTTCCAAGGATAGCACCTGGTTGCTAATCTCATAGGTGCTTTACTGTATCTAAGATCAAAACATTAGTAAACCTGTTGAAACAGTGGCAAAGTTGTTGCAGGCTTGGCAGATGGAGGGTGTGGTAACACTGCATCACAGACTACATTCTTGAGTACGTAGCATCATTTGCCTTATATATTCTTGTAAATGGCATCATTCCAACACTTAGTTATCTTCTGTTTTGCTTGGAAGATCATTATTTCCTATTTATCTCATAAATTTAACACACATCCTATTCCTCCTATTTAAACTATCCCACCAAAATACAACAGTGACTTCCCCTTCTGAAAAGGAAGGGCTGGCAGCTACACCCTGAAGTTAGCATGAATTGTTTATATAACCTTCAATCAGGAATTCATAATAGACTAAAGTATTTTTCACCAGAGCAGAGATTTTGTTGCATATTAGTATAACAGGTTTTAGTGAGACATGCTAGCTGTTAAGTGCAGCATAAACCCCTTTCAGCCATTTCATTGAAAATAGAATTGAAAGACCATACCCCCCACCTTCCAGTACATATAAATTACATCTCTCTGGAAAACATGAAAACATTTCCCCCCAGTATTTCAGAGCAACTACAACTGTAAAATTTGGAGTAAACAACTAGAAGAGGCCCCAGGCCATTCTGTTTTCTAGAGAACCCCAATATGTTAAGTTGAAGTAGGACTTTGCAGACTGTGCACACTGTAGGCTATAATTTGACATTTCCCTGTGTTAGTAAAATTTTTGACACACAAGATGAGTGTTGCAGAAATTGCACATGGAATAATATATTTTATCAAAGTCAGTAATATTAAACAATCACAGGTTATTTTCCAAATGGCTGACATTTGTCAGGAGAATGTCTGTCTGAGTTTACTTGACCTTTCTGGTCTAAAAAGGTTTGATTATTTTGAGGTAGAAATTTAAGTCAACATGGAAAATTACCTTTTTCTTACAAACACAATCTGGCTGGGACCCACTATATACATGTTCTGCAGTCATCACAGTTCAGAGATTACCCCAGGTTCTGCAGACCACTTCCCGCCTGTGTCGACAGGCAGGCACAAATTTGGAAATACTCCTTTAAAACATAAGTTTCTGTTGTAATTCTTCAGTGAACTTGATTAAATATGCCATGTTCCATTTCTGTTTTCTGATACTAATAAAATTATCTGTTTTCCCCTTAATTTAAAATAAAAGCAGATCAGATTTATCTGAGCATTGTTAAATAATTAAGCCACTTTTTTCTCTCTCAAAACTATAATTTGTGTCTTTTGCCTTTTTATCCATTGTCTCATTTTTGAAGTACTGTCATAAAACTATCTGGTGAGTATTTTTCACCCTATTAGTATATCAAGGAAAAGTAAGGACATAATTATTTTTGAAAAAGCACTATCTAGGTAGGTATAGCTTAATGAACCCAGAGTAAGTTGCAGTCCCTGCTCTGAAGAGCTTACAGTCTACTGAACAGTGCTTATGAACTGGCTGGTGTTTATGTAATTGCATTGCTGAACACATGCCTAATCTGGAAGACCTATCCAGAAAGGTTTGGAAGAAGTAAACTGTGATGATTAAACTTGTGCACACCGTTGTGCCAGACAGAATATTGTACTTTCTCTCTCTGGGGAGAAAGAGTTTCCACAGGATGTCTGCATTTTGTAGCAAAAAATGCATTTGCAGATGTATTTTGTAGGGTTGCTTTGATGTGGAATATTAACCTGGGAACCTTATTGTCACAGGATATTACTGAAGCAAATAGTTTTGTGAGATTATTTGTGACTTGGGAATTAAGCTTTTGTGAGTGTAAGTGTGTACTTAAACTGAAGTTTGGTGTGAATTTGGTCCTGATTGTTTCATCATAAGATGAATATTTTACACATTATGAACACCTCCCTACCCCCAAACTATCTATTTCCAGGCACTACAGACAAACCCATAACTATATAAAAGTTCAGATACGTTCTAGAACATTCTATGGTAACCCATGGTAGCTGATAATTTTTTTTCATGGAAATTTTAAAAGGTTTATCTAAAACAAGTAATATAGCCCTCCCTCGCTCTCCCCTGTAATCCATCCACACACTTCCCTCCTGACAGTCAGTCCCTTCCCTGCACAAATCCCCCACCCATGCAAAATGGTCAGTTAACACAAGTAGTTGCTGGTTTTGGGGTCTGCAAAAGCTGCCCGTGAAGTCTGTGGGAGTTATTGTAATAATGTTTTACACTCAATTTACAATGGCATAAATATCTATACAAGATGAAGGGCACTGGAGGGAGAATTGGGCCCATAGAACTTGGTATATGGTTTTTCATTTAGATAAATTTTTATTAACATTATTGCTGATTTCTATTTAAAAAGAAAAGCTCAGTCCATCCTGTAAACTTTGCCAGCCACATGGTCTGACTTCTGTTTTAAGTTTTCATAACCAAATGAAATTTCAGAAACTTTTGTTCCTTTTTAGTGGCCAAAGTCTGTAAACGGACAGAAACTGGGCATCATGGCAAATTATCTCAATTTAAAGGCTGTGTTAAGTTTTCTGATTCAGAATTGGCATCAACCCTTTACTGTAGTTGCACAATTTCTTACTGCTTTATAATGTAGAAAACAGGGTATGCTTGGAAAAAGAGATCTCCTGTAGGGCACCTCATATATTTTGGAATAGGATTCTTTTCATGTTAGGAAATGATGTTTTTTTTTTTATGAGTAATCCGCACATTTTAGGACCTGTATGTACATTTACAGAAATATCTTAGATTTACAGGACAGTTCAGTAATATCACAGAAGAAATTGCATCTGAATGTAAGGTTTTTATCTACAGTGTGTTAAGTGCTTTATGCAGTCTATTTTTAAAAATCGTTTGATATAGGTCATTCACCATTGATCTTCAGTGACAGTTCCACAATCTAAAAGCTGTTCTCTGTTTCTCAGTTTCATCCCATGACTCCTAATTTATCCTACCTTGGATTACTTTAAACAAAAATGTACTGTAGTGTTCATTGTATTTTAATTCTTTATTTTACCCTTTGCGCTAAGGGCCAGACGTACAAATATATTTAGGTGTGTAAAAATGCAGATAGATGCCTCATGGGATTTATGAAAGCACCCAAGCAGGTTAAGTGCCTAACTCCCATTAACTAGGTACCAATGGGAGTTAGGCATCTACCCTGTTTAAGCTTTTCTGTTAACCCCACAAGGCACCTATCTTGCCATCCTTAGGCAAATCTGACCCTAACTGACCATCATACTGCCGAGTAGCATTTCAGGTATTATTACATATAGCTGAGCAGGTTAGGGTGTTGACTTGAGTGTCTTTCCACTTGTCAAGAACATTGCTTTCCTACTTATGAGTAGTATTAAGCAAATTTGGCTAGAACAACTTGCAAATGATTCACGAAGAGAACAATTAAGATTTTATCGGCTTAGTTAAAATACTTATCTTAAAACACATTTTACCAAAATGGTTTCCTGATGGAGCAGGCTGCTGTATTCATACTTACTTCTGCTTTATCCTCTTGTGTATATATCAAATGACAGTAGTTGTGGTGTAAGAATAATTTAAACCTACTTCTATGCATGAGATCTGTTGTGAAAGATGCTGTTTCAGAGTTTTTTAAGAGCTGGAATTTCTGCTTAATTGAAACTTGTTTAATTCAAATAATATATTTGAGATTTGATGTATTGCAGATTCCTACCAGCTTTGGGTACAGTCTTTCTGACAACTGCTATGGAGAAGATTGAAGAACAGTTTGCTAATCTGCGCATAGCAAAACGTTGTGCACTAACTGAAGACTCCACTTACTTACTGGATATAGATGTTTCAAAATCTGTTCAAGCAGAAAGTAACCATTTAGTTGCTGTTTCATGTTCCAATAAGTCAATTAAAGTATATAGTAGAGAAACATTACACTTGCTAAGGGAGTATAGTGGCCATCCTGGGTTACTTAATGGAGTCAGATTTGCTCATACAAGTGAGAATATGTTGTTTTCAGCATGCAGTGATGGCACAATAAAATGTTGGGATACTCGCTTAGCTACTCAGGAAACTATACAATTATTCAGTGGTTATCCTTCAAATGTTTTCATCAGCTTTGATATTAATTGCAGTGATCTTATAGTTTGCGCTGGGACAGAAAAAGTTGAAGAGGACACATTCATGGTGTTTTGGGATGCAAGAAGTAATACAAACTATGCATGCGCAGCTAAAGAGCCCTTAGGAACCTATTCAGAGACTCACAATGATGATATCACTAAAATATGTTTCCATCCTATGAAACCCAATTTGGTAGCGTCTGGATCAACTGATGGATTGGTTAATGTGTTTGATATTAACAAGGAAAATGAAGATGATGCTTTGATTGCAACTTGTAATTCAAATTCATCAGTAAGTTTTATTGGTTGGTCTGGGAAAGATTATAAACAGGTATATTGCATGACACATACGGAAGGATTTTGTTGGTGGGATCTTACTCAAATAGATACGGAGGAACCAATGACATTGTTGCAGATTCAAGATGTCAGAGAAGTAGTCTTCATTGAAAATAGCAACTTAAACTATCTGATAGGTGGCTTGTACCATGAAAAGGCAGACAAATTGTTTTTTGTTGGTGGAACAGCTATGGGAAACATTCACCTAATAAACTGTGGCATTGATGGACTGAGCCTTGTGGGCACCCTTCATGGAGGGCATTCTGCTGCAGTTCGCTCATTCTACTGGAACATGACAGATGATTCTTTGTTGACTGGTGGAGAGGATGCACAGCTGTTGCTATGGAAACCTGGAGCTGTGGAAAGGTCCCTTGTAAAGAAGGCATCTATGAAAATTGCTTCCTCTGTTCAGCAGCGAGTGAGAATTCACAGCAACTCTCTCAAAAGCAAGAAAAAGTAAAATTATGAAAATGGAACTCTTAAATTTGTAGAATTTTTCACTGTTCTGAGCAATATATTTGGGGTGATGATTTGTTTGCACTATGTGGCAAATATAATTTAGTATGTAAATTTTACCTAGAAATGATCCTCATTTTATCACGTGAATAACTTTTTTTTTAAAAAGCAACTGATACTTATTAAAAGGGTAAACATTTACTTTGTATTCATTGAACAAAGTATGTCTTAAAATATTGTATATTTTTATATCAAATTGATTATTTCAAATAAAAAATATTGGCACAGAGATCTTGGATTAGAATAAAAGCTTGCAACTTGTATACTTCATTTCACTGTGGGCAGTAATATATTTTGGACATTTTAAAAGATTTCAGATTTGTAGCCATCTTTTTCTTACTTGCCTTACAAATAATTTAATGAATGAAATTGCTAAATATATTAAGGACTTAGTGCTACTTACTAATTCTTAGAGGAAGTACTTATTGATGAAATAGAGAAAGGGTATTGTTTTGCACTATTCTCACTATTTAATGACAAGTATATAAACAGTAGTTCACAGAACACACTTTATAGCAGGTGTGTGTGTTCTAGAAAACAGTAATACTTACTATATCCGAAGTACCTGTAGCCTTTTTTATGCTTATGAAAAGTATTATAATTGACAATATTTGGGTGTTTTGATTAGAAAAAAAATCTCCAATCTAATGAAAATTGCAAGCTATCTCATGCCCTCCTGGCAATATATCTCAATACTGACCTGGAAGCACTACCTATAAAGACTGAGGAGGTAGGTCAGTCTCAGTGGGTCATAGGAATCGATGCACATGATCTCCCCAATGCTCCATCTAGTCCATTACCTGTTTTTCACGTGCCATCCCACGTGCCTCATAGGAAGATACAGAAAAACGTTCAGAATATAGTTATGGAATAACCTGCCATAGAGAGTTTCTTTTTAACCCCCTTTAGCTTTTGACCTGCAATATATGAACAGTAAGTAACTAGGCTCTTTACAGCACAAATACTACTCTCTGTGGACACCTCTCTAGGAGCAATGAGATTTCAGTAATCTCACCAAACAGCTGTTGGATGGTGTAAAAATTACCTTGTACCTGCTAAGTTGTTGGTTGTCTCATTCTGCTCCATTGGTACATTTTTAACCTCTGTGCCTCTGACTCAGTACTCTGAAAGTTGCCTTTATCATATTCTGCCCTCCCTAAGGTTGTAGTAACATTCATATCAAATGTATCAGTCAGTAATTACCCTAGATTTAACAGATAAGGACTATGCTTCAGTGAAGCTTAAACAAATGTAAGAATTGGTTTTTTACAGAATAGAGAGAGCATGGAAATCAAAAGGATTGTAAGTTTAATACACACACAAGTACTTTGAAGATATTTACAGACTGCATCTAAACTTGAAAAATAGTTTGAAGTAAAAATGGTGTTTAATTCACTATGCATCATGGGTAATTTATTTTCAGCTATACCACAATGTATGGTTACTATATTTTATAAACATACCTGGCTTAATCTCCTGTGGAAATGAGTCCTCTCCAAATACACATGCATCAAGTTTCCTTCTGATATCTATACTAAACATTTTTTACATATATAAAAGAGAGAGAGCGCACGCTAGGGGATATTTAGCTTATGCTCACTTCATACCTGGCCTTTGGTCATGATGAAGGTGTGATTACATTGCATTTATTAGCACTAAACGTTCATTTAAAGGACACTTTCAACATCAATATCATGTTTCTTTCTGCTAGCAGTCTCCCCCAAAATTTACCCACCCTGGATGGCTCGTTAGCCAAGGGGTCAGCTTTTTATTTGGACAGTTACTATGCAGACAGTTGCCTGAGTTGGCATTTGTTGTTAATATCTTTCTACGAGTTTTTACACAGCTTTGGAATGACTCATCTGGTGGCAAGTGGGAGGAGGAGGCATGGCCAGCATATGCTGTGTCACAGCTTTGAACTGCCTCTGGACACTGCAGAATGGAGGGGAGCAGTCCAGACATAAAGAAATTGTGGTAGTTGCTACCACAATGGAAAATTTCTTACCTGAGCATTTCCTATCTGTGCGCCTAAATGTAGGTTTCTAAAGAAATGTGACCAGAACACCTTTTTCCCATTTAACAGTCATTGTCCCGTTCCAGTGGCTCCCTACTAACCCACACTTTTTGAAACTAATTATTATTAGTATCAGTTTCTTACTTAATATATCCACTGGTTTTTAGAAATATATTTTGTGCTTTATTTAAATAGCTTTCTTCTGCAACATTCCGTAATATGAATTTTAGTGGTAATTCTTACAAGATACCAATAATTCAAATTTCAGAAGAACTCAAAATATTATACTTTAAAAAGGGATACAAATACTTTCAAAATTGTTCTTGAAATGGGGTTAATGTTAATGCAACTAACCTGTGCTCTATTTATTGGCTAGTCTGATCTGTAAGAGCAGAGTAAAGTATTTCAGAGTCCTTTTCCCACCCCGCATTACTTAAGAACAAGTTAACTTGAATATTTTCAGAGTCTAGAAAATGTTCCTCATCAGAATTGGAACTATTTTAAAGCAAGTCAAATGTTGAGGCTGGATTACTTGACATTGTTTGTTTTAGCTTATGCAGAAGCCCTAGCATTAGTCTAGCTTCTTCTTTTGATTATTTTTCTGGTTCCAAAAAAAGACAGTAAAAGCAATGGAACAGGAGTACTTGTGGCACCTTAGAGACTAACAACTTTATTTGAGTATAAGCTTTCGTGGGCTACATCCCACTTCTTCGGATGCATAGAATGGAACATATATTGAGGAGATATATATATATACATATACATACAGAGAGCATGAACAGGTGGGAGTTGTCTTACCATCTCTGAGAGGCCAATTAAGTAAGAGAAAAAAAACTTAGCCCAGTACAGACAGGTTGATAAGTGTGAGAGTACTTACATGGGGAGATAGATTCAATGTTTGTAATGGCTCAGCCATTCCCAGTCTCTATTCAAACCTAAATTGATTGTGTCTAATTTGCATATCAATTCGAGTTCAGCAGTTTCTCGTTGAAGTCTCTTTTCGAAGCTTTTCTGTTGTAAAATAGCCACCCGCAGGTCTGTCATTGAATGACCAGACAGGTTAAAGTGTTCTCCCACTGGTTTTTGAGTGTTATGATTCCTGATGTCAGATTTGTGTCCATTAATTCTTTTGCATAGAGACTGTCCGGTTTGGCCAATGTACAATGGTTTACTCAACTGTAATCATAAACACTTGAGAAAGATCTGTGGCAGTGACAAAATTATGTAATTAAAAGCAGCAACGGAAGTGAATATATTTCACTTTAGCTCTGTGCTACACACTACAGTCCTGCTTTTAAAAAAAGAAATAGTCTGTCTACTGTATGATATAAATCTCAAAAAATAATTGTTTTCAAAATTCCACTGAAATATTTTTATTTTCTTACAGCTGTCAGTTACTGAGAAAATATGCTTTTTCTGGAGTTAAAACTTCCCATTGGATGAAGCTAAATTAAATATTGCTAGTATTTTCAAGATAATAAGGATTTTTGAACAAATGGTGCTTGAGCCTCATTTTGTGTTGTCTCACTGAAGAGGATGTGATTTCCCTCTAGGTGGCTCTGGAACCTCCAGAGGGCTCTCTCAACTCTAGGAGACTGATGCTGTGGTTCCTCTCCCCAGGACTCTGAATTTCTTATGCAGTTTGGGGTCCTGATTTGTGAGAACCAGAGGGTCTGGAAGGCATATGGTGTGTGTGTGTGTGTGTGTGTGTGTGTGTGTGTGTGTGTGTTGT